AAATGTTTACAGCTACATGTAATCCAGATTGTCAGAATAAAGGCAGATGTGTTAGTCCAAATACATGTGAATGTCCAGCAGGCATGTACACTGGCCCAAGATGCAATGTTCGTAAGTGACAAATCTTAAATAATTTACAAAATCGTTTTCATAAATCACATCACTTTGGAACAAACAGGTAATTTCTCATGTTTTTCACTTTTCACAGAATATTTGAAAAAAATTATGTTCTACAACTGCAGCTTACTAATTCTTACAAGTGCGAAGAAAGATAAATGTATACAAAGCAATTTCAATATTAACATTTCTTACATCTTACCAATAAATTTTTAAGTCTACTTCGACTTTTAAAGACTACATGCCCGCCCATATACATAAGGGGAAATCTTTCTTTTGTAGTACACTGTAGTGTGATATTAAATTTACTTAGAATTAATATGTGAGACTGCATTTGTTAATAAAATGCATTTAAACTTAGAAATAAATTTAACTTTTTTTAAAAACCTGAATATCCTCTAGTTAAAGTAGTGAGTTACTATGGCTATACTTCTGAGCTAGAGTTATCAATGAAATTCACGATAAATATTCAGTATTTAAAAGATGCTAAAGAGAGTTTTTAAATTTAAAGAGGGTTGTTTCTTTTCTATCAAAATGGCAACAATTCCAAACATGTAAATTTTGGGACTTCAGTCTGCATCAATATGTATATAACGTTCGTATAAGGAAAATTTCCTCTCTTATTTGTTTCAAATCCAATCCTAATTATCAGTAGATTTTTAAATATTTTGAACATTACTAAATATATATATTTTAGTATATACAGTAGAACTGTATAATATATCAATATCAGCTAAAGCTTTTAAACAATAAGGAGTTGTGAAGGACAAGATAGGGTAAGAACCCTTCGGCCCCTGCTTTGGAATGTCTTTTAGAACGATGCAATATCGTATGAATCAACCCGGCAATAAATGAATTCTTAGTTACGGGATATACAAAGGTCACATGAAGGTAAAAAATGTTAATATCCAAATTTCCTCATTTTTATGCAAATTTTAATCAATTTTACAGCACATTTTCTCTTAGAAAATTTAGAGCACAAACTTGCCTATCTATCAAATTAATATATATTTATATTTCATGAACTAGTATCAGATTTATCTTATAAGTAAGAATGTCAGATTGTCAAGTTTGTGCCGAATGAAAAGTATCTAAAATTTGACAAAATTCCACAAAAATTGAGAAAACACCCTCTTATGGCATCCGTGTAACCTGTCAATCAAAGTTAGTCCTGGTTTTAAAACGAGCATCAAATTAAGCCCTTAAATATAAATTATTACTGTTTTAATTGTGTTCTGAGTTTTGTATCATATAAGGGGCCAGATTCAGCGGTTAACATTCTTTGTCCTTTATGAAACTATTTTTGAAACCAAATTTTCCTTTAAACAAAACGCCTCTCGTTCCCGCTTTCTTTTTATTTGCAACTCTAAATTTACTTAGATGACCTTTGAGATGATCAAGTGTGTTACATTCTCGGGTCATTTTTATATTTTTGTAAAAAAGAAATTAAAAGAACATTATAAAAATGTTTAACGTCTGAGTTTTGAACGTGAATTCTTCATTCGCAGCCATTTGTACACCGTCGTGTAAGAATGGAGGAACTTGTTCCCAATCAAGACAGTGTCAGTGTCCGAGTACCCATCAAGGAAGGGACTGTGGGGATCGTACGTATCTTTCTAATAGTATGTTAATGCAAAGCTGTTTTATTATTATAATGCTATGTGTTAAAATTTAAAACATATGCTAAAATTTTGAACTTATTTAAGATTATCGAACTTAATTCAGATGCCGCGAAAGTTAAATTATGTATCGGAATAACTTGACAAGTATGTTCAAAAATCAAAAGAAGTTATCTTATCTAAAATTAATCTTAACTTTATTCAGATTGTAGCTTTCTCTGATTTTTTAAACAACACTTTGTATGAATTTGAGATTTCGTTTCTAGCTAAGTGTGAGTAATTCTAACTTTTCTTTACAGCTGTCTGTAGGCCTAGCTGTCGGTTTGGGACTTGTATACGTCCTAACGTCTGCTCTTGCTACCCAGGATACACTGGTAGTCTTTGCGAGATACGTAAGTTTTATGTTTTAAAACTTATACATATACCCCAGTAAAGGGATCATTGACAAATCCTGGAGGAAAATATTTTTGCTTTGAACTACTCAGGATAACAAGAACATTCAAAATATTATAGTAATAATTTTATACAATTATAGCATTTTGATGAGGTCAATCCCTAGATATATAGACCTTAGAGAAAGCATATCGACCGAGCACGTACCGAATCAAACGGCTACAATTGTTTTATTATTTTTTATCAGTTAATTAGAAATGTCTTAAAATCCTTTTTGTACTACTCAGTACCTTCTCATATAAGGCATTTTGTCTTATGCATTATGACGCCACAGTGATGAAAACCAGATGCAGTATCTTTTATAGAAACATCAAGTTTATAAAATACTATTGTGACGTCAGCACTATTGTTGCTTCAAAGAGGAACGTTTCCAATTTTAGAAATAACAAGTTTATAAATTTTGAAAATAGAAACATCCAGTCCTTTCCACTTTTATTCTTGATCATGTGATCAAGTTTAAGCAAATCAGATAGATGGAACTTTATTAAAATAATAATAATACAATATATTAATATCAAATAATGTTTAATTGATTTTGTTTAAGAATTCTTGATAATGTGTCAAACATGCTTAATATGGTGGTTTTAAATGTTTCTAGCAATATGTTATCCAGTTTGTCAGAATGGAGGCACCTGTGTTAGTCCAAATACATGTAGTTGTCCAAACGGAATGTACAGTGGTTTGAGATGCAATAAACGTAAGTGATCACCTAGATTCTTTATAATACATGCATTTTTCAGTATAGCATCGATTTTGGATGATATATGGTTGCTGGTAACTGGGAGCAGTACATTACTCCCGCATTACGATTCTCTTAAAGTTTGGTTCTTAATCCATCATTTCAAATGTTACTGTGTTGCTGAGTTTATGCGAAGCACAAAATTTCAACTTTTTTTCGCGATCACATAATTTTACAACTGGATTTGATTCATTAAAATAGCGAAAAATAATGCACACGCTTTAAAAATAATCGGTAAATCGTTGAAGGTATGGTTCGTACATATTGATAAAAGTAAAAACACATGTTTTTTCTGAAAAGCAGAGGAAATTCTGTGTCCTTCTGAAACATTTAAAGTCGTAGTACTTTCTATTTTTTAGAGTAAATTTGCTTCTAAATGGCACCGAATTACACAAAAAAGGAACTTCAGAACAGTAAAATACTTTTAAGGGTTCTTTATTTGAACATGTTAAAAATTTTAAGCAATTCATTTACATCAATGAAATGACTTCGGTACGATTTTATGGTTCACTTACAGTACTAATATAATCCTAGAGTAGAGACGTGATTCTTTTGAAAAGACACATTAAAATATTTTTAAAAAAATTATTCAATCTATTTTAATGCAACTACCAATTAACCGTTACATGGAAGTGTGAAAACAAATTATTTATCTTTGTTCCTTCATATATGAAGTCCGGCAAAGTAGGGTCTAGGAGATAACTGATTATGCAAGGTGAAGCCCTAGCAATTAAGTGCTCCACCGTTTAGAATTGACAGACGGTATGAATCTCAATTAATTGCAGGGTTAGAGAGAATTTATGTTTAGATTTTCAAATTATCACAGATCTTACTGTGTCGCCAAATGTTTACTGTGTCGCGAGCATTCAATTTGAATCGTTACTGTGTCGGAGAAAATTTTACTGTGTCGGGAGCAACACGGTAAAACAGCTCATAGAGAACCCTGTTAACTTTTGAAAAAAAGATCTTAATCCAAATATGGCGGTACCAATTTGTATACATGTATGTGTATCTCATTTTATTTCTCATTACATTCAAGTAAGTAAACTTTTTTAAGATAACTTAATTTTAACTAACACATGAGATTTTGCGTTCAAAAAATATTAAAAAGTGAACGTCTGGGTTATTCAGTTGGAGCAGTCGCGCCGTAATCGGAAAGTAATGGGTTCAAACTCCGGTCGTGGCTGACCCTATGATAATTATAGGTTTCAAATGTTTTTTTCCTTTAAGCGCATTGAAGTAAAAGTTGAGTGTCCTTCTGAAAAGACATTAAAAGACTCAACGGTAAACGTTGGAATGATATAGATCCTATATTGTTCAATGGCATCGAATGCCAAGTTTGGTCAAAATTTGGAGACCTATGTCGGTAATTAATGATGAAATCTCTATGTGTATGAACAATTCTCGAATAGGAAGTGTTGCCCGGGTTTCGCAGTGGTGAGAGCGTCTGCTATAGAGTTGCAAGGTAAGGAGTCGATCCTTAAGTCCTTAAGTCGCAGGTTCGAATCAAACTGTTGGACGTGAACACCTGTCCTTCGGATGAGACCGTATAAAACGAGGTCCTGTGTTGCAGTAAATGCTGGCACGACAAAGATCCCCCAGTACTCAATGACCCTAAATGCCGAGTATAGCACAAAATTTGTAACTCCCTACCATCAAGTGGTAGCGTCTTCGTATGAGTGAAATAAGGATATGGAGATAACGAACCTTATTCAATATATCAAAGTCCTTAAAACAATACAAAATAGGAGCAGAGAAAACACGGACCTCCGAAACATCAGAGGTGGGATTAGGGGCCAAGGAGGAAAGTTCTCGAAAGGGACGTTAAACAATATGAAATCAAGCAATTAATTGAATGGGAAGTAAAGAAACATACTATCTATAAATTAAAAAAAATGTGCAAAAAATGCTATTTAGCTGCAAAATATTATATGCCCTAATTACAGTATTTAGCTACCAGTTCTATATATTGCTAACCCGGAGTGATCCATGAATATTATGAAAAATCCTAGTTATGCTTGACAAAAGATATGCTTTTATTATCTTGTGCTTTTTGTTTTTATAGCTAGCTTTTCTAAATTAACCGAATCTCTCAAGTGACCAATTGCTCTCTCTCTCACTCTCTCCTTACGTCTGTCGTCGTGCATCCTTTGTCGGTCATAAACTATTGAATATTTTTAGCTTCTTCTCTAGATCCAGTAAAACAACTACAATCAATTTTAAAATATAGCATATGTATCTATGAATGAATGGGAACAAAATATTGAAATTCGTGGCCCCTTTTTTGTACCTAAAAAATCTTGAACATACTGGTATGAGAGGCAAACTGACTAACAATTTGAACAAGGGTATTTCTACCAGATTTTTGAAATCTGTATCATTTATTCAAGTATAATGGTCCAAGGCAGGGATCTTTATATTATTATACTGAAAAACGTTTTTCCCCTTTCCCATTCATCTCTGAAATTTTTTGTTGGAAGTAAAGTATTTAAATATGCAGGAGTTTTTGTTGCATAAAACCAAAAAATACTATTTAGTTTTGATGATTAGATAAACCAAACAAAAAAGGAATAGCCAAATAAAAATGACAAATCTTGTGTTATATTATGTAGTTAATTGAAAGACAGCAATATCCTTAATGTAAAAACTTTTCTGTTGTATGTATTCCCTTTCGTTTGTGTTTCCTTTTTATGCTTTCAAATAAAATTGTTTGATCGCATTTTAAGTGATAAAATTGATAACTATGAGAACTATCACTTGTTATTTTCTTCTAATATGTATTATTTAAATATATCTATATTTAACTAGACGTTAAAGAACATGTTTATATTAAAATCCAAATATGAACCGTAATAAATAGTTTGAATGTGAATGTTTTTATTTCCAGCTATTTGTGATCCGTCATGTAAGAACGGAGGGACTTGTTCCGAATTAAGAGAGTGTGTGTGTCCCAGTACCCATCGAGGAAGAGAATGCGAAATTCGTTTGTATCTCTACATAATTTAAGTTTATTTTTATGATTACATGTAAATGTCGCTTTTATGCTTCTCTCAGAAGTGGTATATACTGGAAATGCTTGTCAATTACTTTAGAAATTCTTACCTTAATTGAGAACATCGAGCATTATTTTAAGATGAATGTGTCTAGAAAAGAAAAAAAATCTTGAGAATCTGCAATTAAGAATTGTGACTTTTTCTAGGAATAACTTTTGTAAACAATTTTTTGTTATGATTTGTTTTAATTTGTAGCTGAGTGTGAATGTTTCTAACTTTTGTTTACAGCTGTTTGCAGTCCCAACTGTAAGTCTGGTTCCTGTAAAGGTCCTGACTTCTGCTCTTGTTACCCGGGGTACACTGGTAGACTTTGCGAGACACGTAATTCTATGTTTTTAATATATAGACATGTTTCAGATATAATATCCTTTTGTTAAAAACATGACTTGAAAAAGAACAAAGAAACTATTTCTTCATGTGAACAGGAACTTTCGAAATATCGAGTTATATAATAGTATAAGAAATAGTGATGTTTGAAAAGATTTACATTTCATTTATAATGTATAGTAATTTTAAATTTATTTTAAATTATATAATTTTTGATATTGTCTTAAACATGAATATAATAGCAGTTGTAATTCTTGACAGCTATCTGTAATCCTGTTTGCCAGAATGGAGGTACTTGTGTCAGTCCGAATAAATGTGATTGTCCAGCGGGAAGGTTCACTGGTCCTGGATGCAATATTCGTGAGTGATTGACCAACATATTTTTAAACATTTAATATCTAAAATCACATCCTTTTCTGATAAGCAACCTCTCAGAAAACTAGACGTAGTAGATTGTTATTTTGTTCTAATATTTTATAACTCTTTGAAGGAAAAAAAGCTTTATTATTTTAAAGCTTTACTAACAAGTTACTGACACTTTGACAATTGTTTTAAATAAGACAAGTTGTAAATGGAAATATTTTGCTTTTAATCATTTACTTGAATAGACAACATTAGACAACATGCCCTGAGAATATACTGAAAATCTATTTTTTATATTTGAACATTGGTTATGTTTAATTATATTAAAATTATTATAATTTACTCGCAAGACCTCACCTTAAAGTTAATTAAAAATATTTATTCCTTTAAAAAAATCGAATGAATATGAAGCTACAAAATACTTATACGGAATTTCATGACTTATAGTACAAAAAGTCTAATACTATTCTTTGGGTAGAGTTACATGTATCCACCAAATTTACATTAAAGGCTCGAAAAAAAAAGATACATGTTTTTTTTTTTGCTTTTGAGTTTATTTTCCATTCACAGCTATTTGTAATCCGTCATGTAATAACGGAGGGACTTGTTCCCAATCAAGGCAGTGTGTGTGTCCGAGTACCTATCAAGGGAGGGACTGTGGTGTTCGTACGTATTTCGTTAATGTTTTTTATATCCACTCGTGCACATTATCAGGCAAATGTACGCGTAACTTACGTTCTTAACTGATCCGAAACTAGATTTAGCTGGTTTTTCTGGAGTTGCGTAATTTAAATCCATTTATCACATTAAAAAAGTTGTGTCAGATCTAGATGTAGTCAAAAAGGAAATCTATTTTTTACAATCAGAATCTATGCTTTTATTGCAAATAAGTACTATTTAATCAATCATCATGAAGCTTTTGAAATCATGACCTTAGACGAAACAATACAAATCTTATCAGAAATATTTCATAATATAACATATTAATTACTCTATAATGTTTTGTTCTCAGCTGTTTGTAAAAGTCATTGCCGAAATGGTGGTACATGCATTTACCCTGACGTATGTTCATGTGATGAGACTTACACAGGGCGTCTTTGCGAAATACGTTAGTTTTTACAATACAGATTAATATTTTCGTAACTTATTCTGAAAATAGTCTTACACAAGCTTCAGATTGGTCATTTTCTTTTTGAATCAAGGGTAGCATAATAGAAAAGGACTATTTGACGTTTGCACATAGTTATGAGAAATGCCTCGTCATTTTATTTTTACAGCCAAGTGTTCCTATCATTCCCCATGCTTTCCCGGTACTTGTGGTGGTGATTCCGTGACTTGTCATTGTTATCGAGGGTTTTCTGGTCAGGATGGAATTCAGCGATGCAGGGAATGTAAGTAGAAAAAGAATGTCTAAGATGTAATTTGATTTGAAATCATGATGTAACAACCTTCAAAAAAATAAAGACTATGAATAACATTGTGATAAAATAAAATAATAACCTTAAGGTATGTAGATTTCTTTATACCGTTAAAAACCTTAATGGGAAAAATCTATTAATTTTAAATAAAAGAGTTTCCAAAAATGCAGAATGTTCAAAATATATCAGAATTTTTTAATCATTATATACATAAGCTGTAAATACGTGGCGCTTGTATGAAGTGCTGAATTATGCATATAAGTATTCATATGTGTCAATAATTTTATCACACATATTACGCTGAGCTTCATATAATTCAAATTTGTTTTTGTACATCACTAGCATTGCAAGAATACACATTAATTATACCATTATTTAATTAGTTCAAGCCTAGCATCATTAGATTATATGATTTATTTACAGTGACTTCAGAAAGACGTCCAACAATAACTCAATGCACGTCCGTTCTTGCTAATATTGAAAGAACTGGACATAAGAGAGAGCTCTACCGCTTTATAACGGATTCATCCGAACCAAACTCCACAAGAGTAGATACGTTATGGCTTAATCAAAAGGATTACAATTACATTAACGTCACATTTGCCGCGTTCTATACAGGACCGGAGAATTTAGCAGTTCCAGAATACGTCAAACGGTTCAAATTTGGAATTACTTCAGGGAAAATTCAGATTAAATTATGGAAAGTTGATAGAAATTGTAAGATTATCTTGTGTAGACACTAGTCTTTATCCATTTCAAGTATTAGAATTAATCATTTTGCATAATCTTTCTACTTTTAATCTTTTTTAATATTTTAGAAAAAATGTTCAAATTCCATTGTATATGCATTCCATCTAGAATTCTCTAAAAAATGAAAATTGAAATCGGAGGGTAGTATGAATGAAATTTGAAGTTAACTTTTCTGCAAAAATTACATTTTTTCATAACTTTTTTTTTTAGATCAAAATAAACCTTTTGTGAGCCAAAATGAGATCAAAAACTGTAGTTACCAACCGGGATCTCTTGATCCAAATGACGATGTTTTTCAGTGTAACTTCACAGATGAAAACTTTGACAGGCTATTGGAAAATGGGGACACGTAATAAAAAAAATTACATTCAGATAAATATTTAAGTATAAAATTTAATAGCAACCTATTATACTGATATAATAAAGGTTTGGAGCAGTTTACGCTTTGTTAAAACCGAGACGTTTAAACTGCTCCAACCCAGGTTGTAACAGTATAACTTACATGTAGGTTGTTATTTTATTCAATCCTCATAAATTAATTCTCAATTATCAATTAAAGAAAACAAGACAATTTCTCCCTTAATAATCAAATGACACGTTACAACCAAAAATCAAAATCTGTACGCATAATTAATAGAGTTGACTTCAATTTTTGTTGAAATAAAGTTTTTATAGATATTTTGATTCATTGGCCTATAATAGGAATTGTGATATCAAAATTACTCAGACGCTACCTTCTACGATAATCCCATTATATTTCAATTTCCTTAAACAGTTTGACGTTAACTGTTATTGCTGAAAACGGAGGGTATCGAGAACTTGAAGGACCAGGAACCCAGTTAAAGAATGATTTCTTCATTGGCCAAAGTACCACAAAATCAACAATGTTTCGTTTTGACTTCAAGAAACCGTGTCATTGCCTTCAAGAGAGAGACTGTGGAAAAAAAGCTTTGGATGTAACAGAAGATATAACAAAGGTTCTTTATAATGCTTTTACTTTCGTTTGTGTTTTATATTTCTTTAAAATACGGGTCAGCAATTTTCTAATTGTCAACAATATTAATTCTTTTTTTTTCAAATAAAAAAAATATTTATGTGTTGACTTTCTAAGGAAAAAAGAATTACGTTCTCAATATTTCACATATACGATAGTTCGCAAAAATCCTTAAAACTATCTTTTTTAAATGTTTATTTAAGATAATTAAAAACGTCAAATCTGAACTATCTTTAAAATGTATTTTTTAAAGATTTAAATTTAAATTTTACCTTGAAATAAAAAAAAATGAACAAAACACTCTCGAATAAGAAGCATTTTCATAAGAAGTATATTGGAAACAACTGGATGGATGATCTCTCAGGTCTAAAAGGGTACAAACTACAGGTTTATTTGCTAAAACTGAATACAACGTATCTTTCTGAACCTTATCCCTGGAACCCTAGTCAAGAAATAACCTTCAATGAGACAGTGTCAAGTTATATATACACGCCTCCACAGCCAGGGATGTATTCTTTTATTCTTAACGTAATAGACAATGCAAACAATACACAGTACGCTCGCACCTTGGTCTTGTATGATCCTTCATCAAGCATCACTCTGTCGACTTCACCGTTCATTGCCACAAGTGCAGAACCAGAGACAAACTACATGTGGCAAAATAATCTCAAAAATAACATTACAGTATCATGGAAGGGACACTTTGAAAACAAATTTCACGATACAAATAAACTTCTGAATCAGGTTTCACATTATCAACATTTTGATCATATGACAAAATATGAAAAACAAGTCCCACAGCAACTGGATGATACACAGGGAAAAGAACACTTTGCAGAATACCAAATATTAAAGGTATTGTCAAGTTTGAATACTTTTATTCAAATGAAAATGAAGGCAACACACGCCCGATACATGGAAAATAGTAGAAAATGTATTTTCAGAAAGCCAAACATTCTGTATAGAACGACAAGATGGAAATGCGATAAATTTCTGGGTCAGAGCAACTGACGTCATGGGGAATGAAAAAGTAGACATGACAAAGATATTCTTTGATTCCACTCCACCAAAGGCACTGGCAGATTCAGATGTGAAATTCACACGTAACATTAAATCACCTACGTATGATTTTTCGAGTCGGTAAGAAAAAAAAATCTTCTTTTGAAATTTTTGCATTGTCCTTTTATACATATTTACAAAACTGATATGCTCAGATTGCAGGTGGATGCATATGATAGACATAGCGGAATTTATAAAGTCCACTTGGAGCTACTAGCAAACAGCAGCAACGAATTGTTCCATGGAACTAATATTCAAGGGAATAAATCTGATGTAAATGTTATATTTTCATTTCTTTTCCACCCCTTTTAAATTTATTTTATGTTAAATAAATTAAACAAGAGGAAGATGATATAATAAATTAGCTACATTTATAAACATTTTCTTCTATTTTAAATGTTTGACGACACGTTGCTCTAGATACCGTATATTACTTTTTTCGTGTTTGAAAATATGCGAAAAATATATCATCAACGAATAAAGGATATGTTATGTCGGTTTTTGTGTCTCTTCCTAACACAATAAAGTTATTTATAATTCTTTTTATCCTGTGATATTTAAAAAGTTTTCCAACTATCTAAAAACCATGAATAAACCAAAAATTGTTAAATCGAGTGATTTCAACTGAAATTGCACCGAATATACAATACCTAAATTTTAAATTTCATCGATTATTTTGATAAGAGAGACCTTTTGAATCTTACGTGAATTTAATGTTCTTTTTTTAAATTTGTAAAGATGGGTTAAATAATACATTACAAGTTTTTGAAATAAATAATACTGTATGTTGTTGAATTTGTTAGAAAAAAATAATACTGCATGTTACTGAAAAACTTTGGTAAATTTTGTACGTAGAGTATTTTTTCTTGAAAATGTACCAAAAACGTTATTTAGCTCAAACATGTGACCTATTCAGAGATATTTAAAGTTAAATGCAATCAACTTCTATTCTGATGTATTAAGGTTGATGTGAGAGAATATGGATACCAGGTACCTATGGGGGATTACTATTATTATAGTCACTATATCGACATCAACAACTGCTGGATGGTTGTACCAAAGGAAAAATTTGCCAAAGAGCTTGTTTTATTAAACTTGACTGTATACAACAACGCGATGAAACTACCCATTACAGTAATACGGTAAGGTTCATGGATATAAATAATATAGAAAATGATAACATGCTTTTATAGAATATATTTTTTTTCTTCAAAAAATGAACCTTTGTTTTTGTATTTCACGACTTTTTACAGATTACTGATTTAGTTTCACTTGACGGCATAGATGAGTGTAAGTTATGTTATCGTTTTTACAGTTTATAGTAATTTTATATTTCATGATAAAATCAGGGCAACAAATATGTAGATTTAAGCTGTATAATGTTCAGTTAACACAGTGATAAAATACAAGATATAAATTAAAAAATGTGCAATGTATTCTGCATGCATACAACATACAAACTGTTATTTTTCAGACACTGGCCCTAAAAATCTGACGGTGTTAGAGACCTATGACAACAGTGTTCGTCTGAAATGGATCGTATCTCCAACATGTTACAAAAGGTCCAAGATCACCCTGCAGTTCCGTTCCTCCAATGGCCGAACAGAGAACCGATTTATCGACAAGGACGCAGACTGGGTGGATCTGACAGGACTGAATCCAGAAACAAGTTATAACCTGTCTTTTATCACAGAGTATGGAAGACATAAAAGTGATCCCGTGTTTCTGCATTTCAAAACTAACAAACCGCGATCAGCCTTTACAGTTGCTGCAATAGCAGGAATGTCCTCTGGTAAAATAACGTCCTTAACGTAAACACAGAAAAATTATAATATCAGATGTACTAAATTAGATCAGAAAAAAAAAAAAAATTGCAAAGACTTTGTGATTAATCATGTGATTTGTTTTTATAAGTTGATTTTGTAAAAATGAAAAACCGACTTCCAAAATATTTTTTTTTCAAAATCATTTTAGGGTTTTTTATACTTGTTGCCATAATTGTTGGGATGGTTGTCCTATGGCGACTTGGACGTTTGTCAGTTGTACGTGAAGATATTCGACGCCGGGCGACTGTAGTTCGAAGGAATATCACAAACCGATTTTCAGCGGTAAGCACTGCATATTTGAACATTTTTAATTTTTGCATTTTGTCATTAAATTTTAAAACGAATTCAAAGTAAACAGTATGATATTTTTTTTTAATTTCAAAAATCTTTACGAATCTAAAACGCAATTAATGTTTTGTTATTATAACAAAAATAAACGTTTAATTAATTATCATTGTACTTAATTAGTAATTTATTTTCCAGCCGTTCATTCAGTATTCTATTAAAGAAGCATGTTATTATTTTATTTGTATGATTGTTTTTTTTTTAAAAGAATCCCAATCATGATGTAGATGACATTTATATTTACGGCCAAATGGAACTTAGTAATACTGACAGATGGATTTTACCGAGCTCTGAAATTGTGTTGGATGCCTTGCTAACAAGCGGAAGATTTGCAGACATATATAAGGCCAGATACCAAAAGCAAAATAACAAAGCTAAACAAATTGTAATTGCAAAGACTTTGAAAAGTATGTTTTTACAATGTATTGTATATTTAGTCTAGTTTAACCTAATTTTACGTTTGCTCATACTGTATATAAATGAATGTTAAAAAGTGAAAACATGTCAAAATATTTTCATTAACATTATGAATTTTTTTCAAATTAATGAATTATATCCTATGAACTGTTTCAAAAAGGCAGCCCTTTTAAATTAAGGGTTAATTGTAGGGTGAACATCCTTGCTTGTTCGATACAAAGGCGAATTTTAATTTTTTTTTTCGAAAATTTAATTCCTACTTGCATACCGGTTTTTTTCCTTTGCATCGGTATACTTGGACAGAAATAACCTTCATGTAAAACAACCAACTTAAATACAACAAATCATTGACAAATTTTTTATCGTTCTTTTTTGTGTGGTTGACAGAAATTTGAATTTTAAACATAATAGACAAGGAATTAAAAATAGTTGCAAAACCTCCATATTAAGGTTGAGGTTTAAAGAGACACATTGATATTTTGCATCAATTTGTATTACATATTGAATCTAAATAAATTCTAGCAATAATTTTATCAATCAATTTATACAAAAAAGTATAATTTGAATTTCCGTTGATTAAAACACATATCATTTTAATTTTAGGTGGATACACTGAAGAAAATATGCTGATGATGAGAGCAAAAATTAATTTTTTTGGCAAAGAAGTTGGGGAACATCCAAACATCATTCATTTCATCGGCGCTGTCATCGATAACGATGCATGTAAGTTATGTTTCAAATGTATTTTTAATACAATCCCTTGATTAGTCTTAGTTTTGGTAAGAATATTTACTAAGATATCGAAGACCAATAAATAGAATCAAAGACTTTGATAAAAGCTATACTTTTTTAGTTTAATAAATCGCACGAATAAGCAGGGTGTACACTAAATACAAAATGTGATCAATAAAGTTGATAGTTAAAAATATTGAGGTTAAAGACTGGAAATTAAAACTAAGACATATGTACAAAATAAGGGTTTGCCCCTAAAATCTTATAATTAAGCTGATTAGTGATTGTGGCTAATGACATGCTAAACATGTGCTGATACATGTAAAATTTAGCATAACATGAAACTAGCAAATTTTAAGAATTTGGTGTCAAGTCCATTTTGAAAAGCTTTGTTATAGTAATAAACATGTGTAATTTATTTCTTAATTATATGCGTTTTTTTTTTTTTTAAAGAACATATTATTTATGTTTTATAATAAACTTGACATTAATAACATTGGCTAACTTCAAGTGAAAAGATAACAACACCTGATCCTTTAAAATTTTTTTTACGCGCGTTCATATTTAAGTCCACCTAAATGTCACTTATAATTACTGATTTCGTTAATTTTACAATATTCTGCATATATGCCTTTCTACCGTCACAGTAGCTCAATTGGTAGAGCACTCGCTCCTTGATTTGAAGGTCGTGTGTTCTAATCACAGCCTCGACAGACCTTAGTGAAAAAATTAGATACTGACTGTTTCTTTGCCAGAAGCTCGGTAGTTAGAAGTGAAAGCTTCGACTCTTTTGGATGAAACCTTAAAATCAATACCCCATGTCACGTCGAGCCTTGACACGATGAAGATAGTTCCTACTGTGTAATCGCGCGGTGACAAGGTTTCGCGTGTGTTATAAAATTTGAATGTCGTGGATTTCTTATCGAATATATGGAAAAATTCTCAGGACTTAATACAACATTTAATCTATCAATCAATCTTAGGCTTTCTATCTTGGAAGCTGAAGTGAAATTGTCTTGAATCGCAGTCAATTTATAAACAATTTATATACTGTAACGACATTGTGTGTTATGTCAAAAAGCTAAAAGGGGTGTTCAATGTGACGAAATAAGCACAAGGTTTAGCAGTTGGAAGTACACAGATAAAACATTTTTTTAACCTTATATTACGTCTTGATTATGATTGTTTTGCTACAGTTGGACCATTCATGGTTTTTGAGTACTGTACAAAGGGGCAGCTTCGAGACTGGTTACTACAACAGAGGAATGAATCAACAGACGACACTATGGAAATCTTATATCGAATTATATACGGAATTTCGAAGGGAATGTTCTACCTTGAGACAAAAAAGGTAAATAGGAAATAAATAAAAGGACAAAAAATCACTTCACTGCTGAATGTAAGCTGTATTTGTAGTGATAATATCTTCGGTACTAGTTAAAGAATACACATTCACTGTTGTATTTTATAAAATGCTATTCAGCTGGTGCACAGAAGACTTGCAGCACGAAATGTTTTACTGACTGATGAACTAGAACCCCAAATCTATGGATTCGGACCAGAGCCACCCAAACACCAAGGCAACGAAGAGGATGGAGATGGTACACCTGAAGACAAGGTTTGATCTCAAGGATAAAAAGATATAGGCAGAAAGTGTGAATGAAGAAATGTCATATTCAGAATGTAAAAAAAATAATTCAATTAAAACATTACAAAAAACCAGGGTGTGTACATTGAAAAAAATGTTTTACTCTTTATTAAAAGATAAGTTGACATAACTTTTTTCTAGACCCTTTTTCCTCAAATAAATTTTACTAGATCTAAAATCATTTTGGTAATTTTAAACAATAATGAAGAAAATGAAACCTTTTGAATAGTGTCGATAATTGTATTGTTCATTATTTTTGTTTAGAATAATACATTATCTATTAATTTTTAGACCCTATGATAGCAAAATTCGGCCTGGTTTGTGACGATATGTTCTTTTATGAATGATAATAGATAGAATAGGCGGCTCTTCTTACTATAAAGTGATTTGCACATTCGAGGAATCTATCTAACATGACTTATTATTTTTATTTCGAACATAGTGTCTACAGAAAACAATTGTTCAATCCAAAACTGATTGAAAAAATATGCTTGTTTACTTTTATCTTATCTCAGATACGTCGTTAAGGTCAAATAACATATATTTTCTACTACATTTTAAAATTTAAATGGTCATGAAAGCCTTCAAAGCGTTTTATGCATTATAATATACATGGAACCTCAACGTCTAGCGTTTTGGACCAAGCAATGTACATGTACATGAAATTTGTATTCACTTATACTTGGGAATACATGTAGTCATTTGTCTATTAATCGACTTACAAAATTAAACAATTAATCAAAGTTTCGTAATTTTGATCATTGGAATTGTATATTCGTATTAATGGAAGGATAGGAGATAACGAACAGTATTAATCTTTCATTAAAATACATATAATATGACCCCTTTAAAGCATTAAATCCAAGCTTCCTAGTATTTGTTGTAGTACTCACTCGTAATGCAACTCAGCTGACTGGTGATAGGAACGTCACGTGGTGCCTTAGTTAGTACAGGCATATGACGTTATTCTTACGTCGTTAAAAAAATAATGTCCTTGTTCTGTTCATAATATGGGGAAGGCAACTGGATTTTTCAATATTTAAAATATAACATGTGAGGGCAATTAGGGACAAATTTCTCCTTATACATGTACATATAGGTAGATTTCGATAAAATACAGTGACCAGCCAAAGAAGAAAAATATACTTACTTGAGCTTCAAAGAGTTAAAGGTGGGGCTTAACTTTAATAAAAATTGGATGTAAACATGGTATTTTTTTGTAAAAGAGAAATATCCCATTAGGATACCCATAGCAGTGATTAAGTACATGCAAATATTAGAGTGATATTAAGACATATATTTTTGTCGATTTACTTTGGGGCGTATAGCCCATCATCCTTTTGTTGTAAGTGAGAATATTGAGAATCTGAATTAGCATTTTAAATAAAACCTTTAGGAGCGAATCCCTGTGAAATGGACAGCCCCTGAATGTTTTACTTCAATGAAAGCTGCTAGCATAAAAAGTGATGTATGGTCTTTTGGAGTGGTATTATGGGAAGTATTTTCTTTGGGTATGTGTTTTTTCTTTTATTTTCGTGTACAATCATATCTTATCAAAAAAAAATATCAGATGAGTTGATAATTGGTTTGTTTGTACAATATTATTTAATTTGAAAAAAAAATAAGGAATATATCTCATATATTATCACGAAAACCTTCTCAAGTCTTTCAAAAACTTTTCAATGTTTGTTTTGAATTAATACATTTAGCATAATTTTAATTTAAATTGTATGATTGAAAGATCATATATATATATATATATATATATATATATATATATATATATATATATATATATATATAGACGTGTTTTTGATTCATTAACTAGGTGAAACTCCATACCCGGGATCACGAAGCAGAGATGTTATAACCCAAGTCAGAAATGGACATAGAATGAAGAGACCAGAGTTTGCTAATGACTTGTAAGTCAGTCAAAAACTCTTAAGCCTATAACAAACACTTTTCAAAAGTTATGACATTTATTACTGCTAGTTATTAGAAAAAGAACGTATAAATAAAAACAGAACATGCATGCAATGCAAAAGTTCTGAAAATAATAAATAATGAAAAATCAGACCTATTTAATCCAAACCTCACGAGTTAAAGATGGAGTTTGCAATTTGTTCCGTTTCAATGATTTTTAAAGGAATTGTGTTTTTTTTCAATTTTTAACGGGATTGAGATTACAATGGCCGGTAGGGGACTAGCATTGCTAATGCTTTATTCAAAGAATACTTTTGTTTTTAATCCGCATTTGTTCTGACCCACGATTAATATTATTACACTGGCTTTTTGAGCATAAAATAGCTAAAAGTTACGTTATCTTCTTTTCTCATACTGCTTTTATAAAGTCTTGTTTGAATGCTTTTCTTTTTTAAAAAATAGTTTTCATGACATTATGACGAGATGTTGGAACACTAAACCAAGAAGAAGGCCAAGTTTTAAGGATATATCAACGGACATTGGAAAAACCTTTAATGCTGCACCTTCTGATGAATATTACTATTACTGTGAAAAGTGAAACATGCCCATAGAACATTTTGACAGCGCTATTCTTAATGTGCAAGAACAAATGGGCTTAGTTAGATACGATCCATATTTCAAACTTAAGTCAAAACAAATTAAATTACATTTTTAAGTAAAACTTTTGAGCAATCGTACAGCTAAGTACATGTAACTACATGCAATTATTATTTTGATTTTATTTACCATGTTTACGGAACATTATTCTACATTGTTTGTTTCATTATTTCCTCTCCTGATATGATATTCAAGTAAGCTTTTCTACAAAAAATCATCTTTTGTGTGATTTCATCATTTTTGTTTACTTCTCAACAATTTATCCAAATTGTTTTCTAGGAACTTCATTAGATAGGGTCATGTTCTTTTCAAGAAAAGGGTATTTGAAAATAAGAAGTATGAAAAAGTCTTCACAAAATCACATACGAATCTTTATATGACGCTTTAAAATCTAGTTTGATCTAATAAAAGCACATGTATCACTTTTGGTTGTTTTTACTTATCAATATGCATGAAGCTACAAATACTTTTCAGATCGTTACATAAGATACCGGTAATATGAGAATATAATCCAGGTCAATATTGACTTTAACAAGAGTCTCAACAAAATGCTCACGGTGAAAATTCTCTTATCATTTAAGGTACGTTTTCGAAATTCGATTCATTTCTTTATGCCTTTTAAACTTTCTTAGGAAAAAGGTAAAGGATTTTGTCTTCTGTTTATAATGTCCTTTTCTAAAGAACCGTTTTCTCTTTTCCACACCATTTTGGATGCTTAAATTCAAGGAAAGCCCAGTTTTGAAAAACGACACCAGAATGTCGGCTCAAATCTGTGATTATGGATATTGCAAATTATAGGCTTTTTAACTCCCACGTTTTACTGAAGAAAATGCAGATTACACTATCTCTCTTTTCCTTAAACATCAATATTCCATGAGGATATAGACGCGCTTGATATAATTATATACCGGGTAATATTCTTGTATTCCACCATATATTTAAGCAAAATGTTTTTTGGACACTGAGAAAAATATATATAGGACAGATGATACAAACAAAAGATGGATGCCAGTGTAAATGGAAATCACTGTTGTATATATGTTAATTGTTTGATTAATTTCCTTTTAAATTGTGAAAATGATAGCAAATTGGGTAGTAAATTTTTCTATTTTTAAGAATTAAAAGAATTAATTACAAACCTTCTTTTTTTAGTGTGCAGTAAAGAGAGGGTTCTTAAGTTAAAAACTACACCTTGCATTTCCTACAAATAAACATCAACTTTTGCACAAATATTTTTCAATTCAAATCCAAACTTCTACAAATGGCCTGAAAAAAGATTTAAAAAATACGCTGAAAGTGTTCATTTTACTTATTAAAACTCCTTTAACTATAGCCATGCTGAACATGTTATTACAGGTGGCGTGAACATAGTTAATAATGAGGACCTTAATAACACAAATGCAAAATGTTTTTTGGACACTGAGAAAAATATATATATAAAGGAGTCTATTCAACTGGCTATGTGATTTTCATAAATATTATTTATCTCTGTTGAAATTATTTTTCCAGAAGATGGGCCTGATATGAAAAAGAAGACGTTGACACTTTGTCAGAAAGGATAAGATGTTTCAGATTTATGTTTAAATCACATAATAAAAGATTGAAGGGCAATATTCAATAATCCAGAGGTAAAAAAGACCTAGATGGATTACATGATCAGTGGAAGAACTTGGAATTTATTTTTACAAGTAGTAATCCAACGTATACTCATATTCCCCTTTTTAAGGAAGAAATTCTCAAAGAACAAGGTTCACATTTGCCTTATGAGGCCCTGTGAATTTCTGAAAAACTGAAACTGCATAGTTACAGTTAACAATGCATTAAAACATTACTTAGATCTTTGGTGACTGCGTAACTAACAAACATTACGTCATTTTCAGGCTAGTCAATGCATTATGACGTCACAAAATGCTTCAACTTCCTCATATTCTGAAGAAAGTCTGCAAAACGGCCAATTTTTAAAACTATTTTTTGATATTTAATATAGAGCGCAACCTCTGATCTAAAATGTGCAACTAGTAGTTGATAGAACTATTTCTGAGGATGAATGGAGGTGTTTTATTTTTTGGATCAGAGAGTGCGCTAATATTATTTTAATTCACTGAAAGTACTCATTTATACCTGTTTACCTAAAAATTGTTTACCTAAAAAGAACATTGCAATTTCATAAAGCCAGTTCTCCAAGACTTTTAGGAGAATTTTTTTAACAGGGTATGAAAGCACAAAGTCTCTATTTTATTTTAACGCTTCAAATAGGAAATCAAGTGTTGATCAATTAATTGGTATATCTACAGGGCCATTTTATGCATAAAATGAACTTCTTATTTGTCAGTTTTGGAATATTTTCAATATCCAATCTCAACTTTAAGATATCTCTCTTACAAAAAGAGATACTAGTAACTGTTTTGTTTAAGAGATATATCTCTAAGGAATAAAGATATCTCTATTAGTCAACGAGATATCTCTATAAGCTAAAGAAATATTTCTCTATGCAAGAGAGATATCCCTCTTATTTAAACGCCTTTTAATGATTTAATCTTAATGATGTCACTTATATATAATTTCTTAACTACAACACATGTTCGTAACATTTATATCTAATTTCTGATTGTTTTTTAAAATATATTTTTTGAGTATTGCCCTTCTTAAACTGGAATATTGAAGGTCCAATTATTTCCTCGACTTGTTTCTTCTTTCTGAAAGAGTTTGGAAAATGAAACAAGTCAAAGGGTAAAAGATCTGGCCAATACTTTTGTTGTGACAAAACATTAACTATCTGTTTATCTCAAAATTCCTTTACTCTTCATGGCGTGTGGTTTTGGACGCTAACATGAAAAAAATTAATGTAGTGGATTCCTTTTCTGGTTCCATTCTTTAATAAACCTTTAAATTTTTTGCAAAAACGTGCATTCTAGATATCTCCAAAAATTGATCAGCCTCCCCAAATAGTACTTTGAACAACAAGACTGCTAATATTTAGGAAATTTGCACATAAAACTGTTCTTGTGTTTTAAAAATTCTTTGTTCTCCTCAGACCTTGACTGTTTTTGTCAAGTGTATCTTATTGTAAATTTTGTTTTAAGGTTTAAAACAATGGATTTGAGTTTCATTATCTGTTTGAATTTCAGACAAACGTTCATAATTATATTATTTTTAATTCTAATTTTTTTTTAGATATTCTTGATGCCGTTTTACTCATTTTTTTTCCAAAACATAAGGTGATCATTAAGTACCTAGATTTTTAACTGTCAAATACTGTTAAACAGTGTAAATTTATCCTCCCCACCAATAATGCATATCAAATTTGCTATGTGATTTAAAGTCATTCAAACATGTCAGTGATAACATGTTGAATTTTGGCAGACAGTATACTGGTTGTTGTAAGTCTTTGTCCATAAGGACGGTACCCATTTTTCATGCCAATTATATAATTTTTGTTCATTCAAATCCACCTGCTCATATGTCTATATCATTTTCAACGCAGTGTCTTGAATAACCTTTGTTTTCCAGGTTCTCACAATGAAACTATGTGATGAAAAGCGGCCACAGAAACTGTAATCAATTCATTTAAGATTCAATCATGTGAGAAAGTCAGGTGATGTCTGTGTTGTGTCTCATATAGCTCAGGACATTATTTCTTGAACAGCCCTCATCATAATGTTCAATCTTAAAAAATCTGCATAATGTTCTACCCGTAAATTGATCAAAGAAAATTGTGAAAGACATTTCCCCAGTGCTTGATTAAGTGTTTGATTTTCAAACGTGTGTCATGTTAAACTCAGAAAGTGACTGTTCCTTTGCTAAGCATCTGTTACTAAAAACGGAAGTTACGAGACTTTTAGTGGGAAACCGAAATCCCGATAAAGAATTTTCACTGCTCAGTTTCCTCGTTGCAAGGTTAAAATACAAATTCAAGTTTTTCATTTGTAATACCAGTAACATTTAAGCCGATGATTGGACGACCAAATTTTTCTGGAATCGTCGGTGAAAGAAGAGTATCGGCCCAAAATAGTATCGGGCGACACGGAGCATTCACATTTATTCCCAGGAACACCGATGACTTAGATAAATAACACAAAAATTACTCTTTCTTTTGAAATCTACAATATTTTTCAAAGATCTATATTTCGATAGATGACATGAGTAATGTTGCAAGACAAAGTGGCAGAATTTTATAACATTGTGACACAATGTTAAAAATGTGTGCAGAAGAGCAAGATCCACTTTGCTCTTATTTGACCCTGAGAATTTCTGAAAAATCAAAACCGATAAGTTTAGGTTGCAAATGCAGTATTTATCACTTGGAATGTTGGTGACCACATATCTATTTATTGTGACGTAATTTCCCATCTAGTCAATGCATTATGACGTCATAAAATGCGTCATTTTCCTCATATCATGTAAATTCCTTTGAAAATGACCTAAAGTTGAAGCATTTTTTCAATATTTCATATAGAGCACAACCTCCGATCGAAAATATGCAAATACATAATGAAAGCTCTGTTTCTGAAGATCAAAAACATATTTTATTTTTTGGATCGTGGGCTGTGCTCATATTTTAATTCTTTGCTGAAGGTAGTCAAATACGCGTGTTTTCTGCAAATTTCAAGAACATTGCAACTTCTCAAACCTGTTTTCCAATATCTGCATTTTCAAAATGAAATTTTATTACAGAATATGAAAGCACCAAGTGTCTACTTTATTTTGATATATGAAATGGGAAAGAGGGTGATAGTTAATTAATTGATATAAGTACAGGGCCATTTTATGCATCAGATGGCTCTGTCTCTTTGTATAGAATTGCATAGAAAACAACAAATGATGCATATGTAAGCAGCAAAGAAAACTTTAAATTTCTCTATATTTTACGGATTTATTATTTATATTATTTCCATTCAAAAGATAAATATAGCAATCCATGCATCAAAGTTTTGTTTGAGTTATGTATCCTTAATAGGTTCAATAATCATTAGGCGGCCAATCGTCGCCCTATCATCGAGCTCTGAGGCACAGTTTGTTTTTAACTGTCAGCCAAAATTGGACATTGTTATTGTCGTTCGACGAACGACCGACTTTATAAACTGACCGCCAATGATCGGACGATGATCAAAGGTTGGTCGACGGATTGCTTCAAATATTGAAATCGGCCACCGACGCAGAAAAAAAAAATATAACTTGGATCGATGGA